ATTCTTATACACTTGCCTTCAATGGCAGAACTCCACTAGCAGTTCTGTCACTCTAAAAATACCCACTTGAATCTGACATTGCTCGTCCCCTCCAAAACTTCTATAAAAAATAAAAGGGAAGCAGCCCTACTTTGAAAAGGCAAAATCCTAAACGAAGTTTCACAACATTTAGGTTCAGAGAGATCTCTCAATACACAGAAATGTATAATGGGAGAATTAAACAAATCGCGAATAAGCGGGATGCCCTATACAGAGCTCCAAAGCAACGAAAGCGATTAGAATCCAGGAAAACCTTCCTTGGAACAGCAAAAAATTAAGTTTAATGGATCTGTCCATCTCTAGACTTTAAAACGTAAAATACAAGTAATGGGCTAAGAACGGGAGCCGCTGTAGTAAAATCAAACATGACAAAATGAAGGAAATAGACCCAAATAATATAAACTGTGACTGTGGGGAAATCCAAAATATGGAACATCTTGTTAAATGCAGAAATTTTCCTCATCGATTTACCTTCGAAGATTAGTATAATAACCTATCCCGGTACAATAAAATAAGTAAAGTAAAGCGCCGAAATAAAATATTTATCAACAAGAATTTGATTATTCTCTAAACTGCCTTAAAAACACATCTTCCGGTCCAGATGATATTCTACCTATTTTCTTGAAAAATATTCCAGAATCATCTAAACTTATCCTCCTAGAACTATTTAACTCAATATTTGTCAATAATATATTTCCCAAGATATGGTGCCATGCAATTATCATCCCAATTCTTAAACCCAACAAACCTAAAGACGATTCCTTGTCATATCGTCCAATCTCCTTGACATGTGGTATGTGTAAACTAATGGAAAAGATTATAAATAACAGACTAGTATGGCATCTAGAAAACTCAATGTTATTATTCCCCTATCAAAGTGGGTTTCGTAAAGGCAGATCCACTACCGACAACTTAGTATCGCTTGAGTCTGAAATCCATAAAGCATTTCTACACAATCAAAAATTACTAGCTGTCTTTATTGATATCAATAAAGCTTTCGACACTGCATGGAAATATAACATCTTAAAAACACTACAAAAATTTAAAATTGAGGGTCACACACTAGCTTTTATACAAAATTTCTTAACTCATAGGCACATTGAAGTAAGAGCTAAAGATTTTAACTCTAGTCCACGCTCTCTTGAAAATGGAATCCCACAAGGCTCCATTTTAAGCCCAACATTGTTTCTGATTGCAATAAATAACATCTTGGACGAAATGAGATTACCTATTAAAGCCAATTTATACGCTGACGACTTAATTATCTACCACAAAAGCAGAAGTGTGGATTGTGCGGCTGAAGTAATACAGAAGTTTTTAAATACACCGGAAAAATGGTCACTTAAAACTGGTTTTACCTTTTAAAAAACACAGTACATAATATTCAGCAAACGGAAAAACATAAAGAATGTTAATCTAACTTTAAATAAACATGCTCTAAAAGAAACAAACGAAATAAATTGCATGGGGTTAACTTTAGATTGCACCCTAAACTGGAAAAGCCCCATACATACCTTGCAAAAACAATGCCAACCCAAAATTAATTTCTAAAAGTCTCTCAAACCGTATGTGGGGAGCAGATACAAGAACCCTATTAAAATTATACCAATCACGTATACGTAGCAAATTAGATTACGGCTCAATATGTTATGGTACTGCCAAAAAAACTATATTAAAAAAAATAAACTTAATTCAAAAAACGTAACTAAGAATTGCTCTGTGCATTTAGAACTAGCCCAACCAATAGCCTTCAAGTATTAGTTAACGAACTACCTATACACTTACGAAGGCAACAATGGTCACTAAATTATGCAACTTGTATATCATCAAATCATCAAAATTCCATGCATTCAAAAATTTTAAAACCTAAATGTATCAGTAATTACAAAAATAAACCGAATAATATACTCCCTTTTCATGAGAGAATCAAGAGAGAGTCAAAACTTTCCCTCTTGGTCAACTAGTCCACCAATTGTAAATACATCCCTTACTCGCTATCCCAAAACATCCACTAACCCAACAGTAATACATCAATCATACCATGAAATAATATCTCTATATCCAAATTCTGAACATATTATCTACACTGATGCATCAAAAACTCAATCAGGACTAGCAGTGGCTTACATACACGGAGCAGACCACTTTAAAATACGACTCCTTCCGAGTTGTAGCATATTTACTGGAGAAGCAATGGCTATTTTAGAGGCACTGAAAGTTTGCAGAAGAAAATCCACACATCATTTTATTATAATATCTGACTCATTAAGTACATTAAAAGCTTTACAGCAATTGTATCCATCAAATGAAATTATAATGCTAATAAAAAATGAACTCATACTGCTATCAACATAAAACATAGAAATAACTCTTTTATGGGTGCCATCACATGTGGGAATCAAGGGAAACGAAGCAGTAGACCAACTTGCGAATGAAGCTGCACTAGATGAAAGCATCTCTGTGTCACACATGATAACAAGAAACGACCATAAAACCTAAATTAAAAACATATTACCAACTTATGGCAGTGTAACTAGAATTCCACATCCAACAAATTAAAAGATGTTATAGAAACTGTCGGTAACACCTTACCGCTCCCACTCAAACGTTGTGAAAAAGTGATAATACCTCGACTACGACTATACCAACCTATATTCACTTAATAAATAAAGAAGCCATCCCTTTCTGCCACAACTGCAAAATCCAAATCACTGTGAAACATATTCTGTTAGAATTCAAAACATACACCCAAGAAAGAAGAAAAAATAACCTCTCTACCAACATGGAGGATCTACTAATCTGCCAGTTCAACAAAGTGCTGAAATATTTGAAAGACATTAAATTTTACAGTGTTTAATAGAACATATTTAAGTTATACATATACATTGTAAGAAATTAAATACTTGTAATTTGTGTTTGTACCCATTGCTAATAACTCTTAGTAGTTGATGCAGGGTCATTTTTGTTTAAATAAAAAAAATATTTATTATATAAATTCTCAGAATTTGTAGATAATGAGCCACAGATAAAAGAGAAATAAACAGGCTATCCTTATGCAAATGGAAGATAGCGGAAAACCATCGAAAGGGAAACTATTGTCTATCATTTAAAATATTTACTAGACTACATAAAAAAATTATTCAAACAAATACAAATGGAATTTTCTAAATAATTTTGATCTTTTTAAAAGTAAAAGAATATTAAGAGAAAAAATAGTGAGAAGTGGAAGAAATTATAGCAACAAAAAACGAGAGAATACAATATGCCAATGCTATTCTATTTCGTAGATTACATAAATGCTTTTAATTTAGTAAAAGGGGATCCCTTTGGAGTAAAATGAGATATATAGGAGTTCCTAACCACTTGGTAGTACATAGACAGGGCTGCATACTCTCATTAATATTATGCAACATATATTCTGAATATTTAATTGAGGAAAATGTTAAACGAAACGGATTAGGGAATCGCTAAAGGTAACAAAAAAATCAGTTACCTGCGATACATAAATAACACACTAATACTATTAGCAAACGAATTCAAAATGAACGGCTAAGCTGGTTAAGCAAAGAATTGGGGCTCCAGATCAACACTGAGGGGTTCTTGTTGGTGTGGTTTTTTCGATGAATGCGTGGAAGAAAGAATGAGAATCTGGTGATAGCAGGGCATAGCAGAGATATTATGCCTTAACCAGCCCTTCAATCCTGATGTCTGGAATGACAGAGGAGAGGTTTTTAATTCGACACCGGCCGTCTCGGAGTGATGACGGGACGAAGTGTCAAAGGTTTTACTCCCTTGGGAATCTCGTCCTGGTACAACTTCGTTAGGGCATTAGGAACCCAACACTATCTGGGTCTGTATGCAGATTTTTCTTCTTCTCTTTAAAGATGTAAAAAAATCAAGGCAGAAAAACAAATAAAATGATCGTAGACAGGGCAAATAATATTCTACCGTGCGTACGCCAAGTGGCGAATTTCGAAGTAGTTAGATTGGTACACTTGGGCTCCACGAGAACCAACAACGGCAATTGCTCCTCAAAAATTAAGTGTAGACTAGTAGTAGCTTAAACCCCACAACAGCTAAATTAATTAAAATATGGAAAAACCGAAAAATAATAAGAAAGACTAAACGCAGGTTGGTCAATCCCTTATTTTTCTATTTATCCCAGTGCTACATACCCGGCCGAAACATGGATACTCAAATAACCAATAGGAATAAGATCAAAGCTTTTGAAATGTCGGTCTACAGAAGAATTCTACACGTAACTTGGACATAACACAGAACCAATCTATCAATTCTGGAAGAGCTTATCATAAAATACAGGATATTAAGAAAAGTAATCCGAGCATACCTAAATTACTTCGGCCAAATAGTCCGAATAACGGAGACTATGGAACTATTGGTAGTAGAAGAAAACGTAAATCAAGACGAAGATCAAGAGAAAGGTCTCCAACAAGATGGACTGACCAAAAGAAGACTCTGGCAGGAAAATCCCCACTTCAAGCCATTTATCTGGCTCAGGAACGCAGCCAATGAAGGCAGCAAGATATCAATATAGATGTTACCTCAAAAGGCTCGGAATGAAAGACAAAATAACCATTCCCAAGAAGTCTTAGCAAAGCTATAGACGAAGACAAAGAACTTATTTAAAAAAATACATTCATTACATTTTAATAACGAAATTTGACTAAAGAATTTTATTAAAGCGTAAGCAGATAGTTCTGAAATAAAAAGGGAGAGTATTTAAAAATAACAAGATTTGTAGCTGGAAAAACATAATCAAAAGTCTCAATTAATCGAAGAAGATGAAATTATATGTGTAGCAGATAAAAAATATTGATATCTCTTTTCCAATTAGCACTTTAAAAAGTTGATGTTGCAATGTGAGTTTGTTTTATTTACTTGGGGAAATCCATATTAAAAATTAAAAATCACATAAAAAAAAATTTTTTAAAAATACTTACTTTAAACGCGAACATGTTTCTACAATTTGGCTTATATTGCTAAAGTGAAGCGTTGATTTATTCTGTCGTTCTAGTATTACTTATTTTGCATTTCTTTGAAGAGATAACCTTAGAATTTTCCCTAATAACATTATCTTAACCTCGTTTAAAAGAAAAATGCTCAAAATTTGTAAATATGTTATTTATAGAAATATTTTCAATGATATTCCCAGGAAACATTTACAATGTTCTTGTACCATATAAACAAACTTGTTTGTTACATAATTTATTATTGTAACAAAATAACAAATTTCTATTACTATGAAATGATAGATATAAAATTAAAGCTTTCAATTATTTACCAAAAAAAACTGTTAAAGTTATAGGTCACAATCTAAGCATTTTCTACTGTAAAATACAAGATGTTGCCAATTTTATTCTATTGCGAAATATTTTTTTTCTAACACGTCCACCTAATATTGTTTTCAAATCCCACTTATTTTTCCTCGTTTTATTTTTGTCTTACACTTTGTAAGAGACGTTTAACAGTTATATTGATTTGATACATATCATAATAAAATATTCGTTGAATAATTCTGGATTACTAGGTAATACCTAATTGGAATTGGGTGTTTTTTACTTAAATGAGCTCCACTGTATATAAAAAATAGGGCAGATACTCTCCCTAATCATTTCTTTGCAAGAGAATGTCTTGCTGCTAGCTTTTTACACTTGATTTTTGATTTGGTAAGCGACTTCTGTTTCTGAGACCTTCTACTTCTTCTTCTTCTTCCTGTAGGACATGGTCCTGTTTATCCTATCGTCCCAGCTCTTGCGATGTTGATATCCAGATGTTATACCACCTCTTCTGGAATCTTCCCAATAGTCTTTTTGTGTTAGGTTTATGTGTGTTGCCCATTTTGCGATTCTTCCTGGGTACATTCTATAGACATAATCCCTCCATTTGCAGCTTCATGTTCATGTCCATCTCACCACGTCCTGAATTCCAGTTTCTCTTAATCTATTCCCATTCCTTATTCTATCTCTAGGAGATTTAGAAATCAAATAGATTACGTCCTCACTAATATTCGCTGGAGGTCGTCCATTCAAACAGTCAGATCATATCCAGGGGCGATATGCGGATCCGATCATACTCTCCTCGTAGCTAAAGTAATGCTTAAACTTAAAGCATCCAACAAACAAAGAGAGATAAAGAGGGTAGAACTAAGAAAGAAAGAAGACCTTCTACAGGAAGTACAGAAAAGTATGCCCTCTATTCGTAACGGAACATTACAAGAAATATGGGAGACTGTTAAACATTGCGTAGTGGATCGCTCAAAGAAAAATAATCCGGTGAAACGGAAACACTGGATAACAGATGAAACTCTTAAAATAATTGAGAATAGAAGAAATCTTTGTAAAAGTGGTGTACATAGTGAAAGGGAAGAAGCTAGTTTAAGAAACCTCAATAAAGAAATAAAACGAAGATGTAAGGCCGACAAAAAACAGTACTATCAAAGTATATGCAAAGAAATTGAGAGACATGGTCAGAATAATCAGCCGAGAGATCTATTTAGAAAAATACGCTACCTGACAAGAGACTTCAGAGCCAGAACTTGGGCCATTGAAGATAACACTGGAACCCTGAGAACAAACAGAGAAGACATAGCAGAGGCATGGAGATCGTATTGCAGGGACCTATATAAAGATGATCAACGCCAAGAGCTTGTTAACCAAATCTCTGACGAGGTGGAGGAAGAACCTGATATACTCGAAAATGAAGTAAGACAGGCTATCAACAAGCTCAAATATAACAAAGCACCAGGTCCAGATATGACAACAGCAGAAATGCTCAAAGCCACAGAAGAAACCGGCATAAAGTTACTTCATCTACTATGTAACCAAATATGGCATTCCAAACAATGGCCTGAAGACTGGACAAAATCTACAATAACGACCATACATAAAAAAGGCAGCTTCCATAAATGCGACAATTATAGGACTATCTCTCTTATATCCCATGCCAGCAAGATAATGCTACATATAATCAATGAGAGACTGAAAACATTCCTTCAAAGAGAAATTCCACAAGAGCAAACTGGATTTATGGTAACGGTAAAGGCACTCGAGAACACCTGCTGAATATAAGACAGATAATCGAGAAATCTAGGGAATTCAACATCCCACTATACATCTGTTTTATAGATTACCGTAAAGCGTTCGACAGGGTCAAGTGGAGACACTTATGGCGAATACTAAAAGAAGTAGGCGTACCACAACATCTAATTACGCTTATAACCGAACTATATGAACACACTACTGTATCATGGTCATAAACTAAACAACCTACGTTTCGCAGATGACACAGCCCTTCTTGCAAATAGTCAAGCAGAGCTGATAGAACTTATACGACTGATCGAAAACGAAAGTCAAATATTTGGTCTGCAATTAAACATATCAAAGACAAAGATCATGATAGTGGATAGACTACACAACAATCATCCACATATAACCACAATTGACCGGTTCGAGGTTGTGAGCTCATACTTATATCTGGGATCATTACTCACAAACACAGGGTCATTATAAGAAGAGATTAAACGTAGATGTGATCTAGCAAAAGTTGCGACAGCAAAAATGACCAAAATATGGAAGGATTGTCAAATTTCAAGAGCGATAAATATGAGGTTGATCAACTGCTTAATATTCCCAATACTGACCTACGGATGTGAATCTTGGACTCTGCGACAATCGGAGAGAAGAAAGATAGATGCCACTGAAATGTTCTGTTGGAGACGAATGTTATGAATTCCTTGAGCCGACCGTAGAACAAATAATTCAATTTTAAGAGAGCTAAAAGTTAGCCAACGACTCTCTAGTATGGTCCATCTCCAACAATTAAAATATTTTGGGCATGTTATGAGAGCAAACACAGAAAACATGGAAAGACTCATAATACAAGGAAAGGTAGAAGGCCGAAGATCACGAGGAAGATCCCCAACAAGATGGATAGATCAAATTACAGGAATATGCCAAAGACCTATGCATGAGTTAAAAGAAATGACCAGAGACAGAGATCTCTGGAGACGGACAATACACGACATCACGTCGACCACTACACTCCCCCTGGGGGGTCAGGATTGAAGAGAGAGAGGAGAAATTCCTCTTATGATTCTTAATACTTTCATCTGTATAGTTCGCATCAAGCTTTCTGTAAGCGACGTTTTAGCTCTTGTTTCCGTTACGTATGTTATAGATCTTATATTATAGATATTATATATTCACCTTCAATCGGATGGGGGCCTTCGTCAAGATTCACAACCTCTCTCTTGATACAAAAGTAAGAATGCTGTGATGCTACGTCTTCTCTGTAATTTTTTATGGTGTTGAATCGTGAACCTTGAACGAAGATATGTGCAGAAAACTGGAAGCATTGAAGATGTGGCTATATCGGAGAAAACTTAAGATCCCGTGGACTGACCAAGTCACAAATGAGGAGGTCCTCAAAAGAATGAATAAGAACCGAGAGGTACTGACCACTATCAAATCAGTAAAGTTACAATTCTTCGAACATATTATGCAAAATGAATCCAGATATGTTCTCCTTCAAGCCACCCTACAAGGAAAAATATTTTGAAAAGCATGTCCAGGAAGAAGAAGAATATCTTAGTTAAAAAACTTCAGAATCTGGTTCAATACAACATCTGTGCTTTTCACAGACGGATAGGCACATCAAGAATGTTAGTACTGGCCTTACACATGCTTTATATATCCGTTTTTTGCTCTCTACTCTTAAATACATATTCTTCTTATTCCGATATTCTGTCTGCCTATTATACGATACATCTATTCCGAGGTAGGTAAAATTGATGACTTGTTCTATTATATGTTCATTAATCATTAGTTTAGATCTGATGCGGCTCTTGGCTAAAACCATTGATTGGGTCTTTTCATGGGGTATTTTTAACTTGTGTGCTATTATATTGAATCTGTAAAATAGGTACTGTAGATCATATTCTACATCTACTATCATCAATTTTATAATGAAACACTGACAGAGCTTCTCAGAACAGATGGAACACGATTTCTACGGAACACAAAAAGAAATATGGAGAATGATCGGAGGAGAAAGAAAAGAGATAAACTAACTAATAAAAACCAAACTCATTCAAAAGGAAATATGGGCAGACTACTTTCGATCTCGATTTGCTAAAATTGACGATAATGGAAATTGAAGCTGTTGAACCGCCATTGAATTTACGGGGGTAGTATCTTACCGACAAATATATAGCTCGTATCATTAGCGCTGAGACCAAGTATTTCTCAAAGATATACACAATCTGGCTGTTTTAGATTTGACTAAAAGGTATTAAGAAAGCTACACAAATCTGTCTAAATTTAAAAAGGTACTTTATAAGGGTCATCTTTCACCAGTTTATACTGAAAAGCCTCATGTGCTGTTCTCAATAAAAAATAAGACAGAATTTCTCAATGATGTCCAATGCCCCATGTTTAACGCAGAAATTCAGAAGAGATGGCCTAATTATTATTATATGTTTACCGGTGGTTCAAAAAAGGAAATAACACTGCTTGCGCAGTATACCAACAGTATTCTCGACAACAGCATAAATATAAGTTACCTGATGAAGCCTCCATCTACACATTCGAAATGCTGGGTTTAAAGTTTGCTCTTTCTCACGCTTTGACAAAGGAAATGAAGAACTGTGTAATATTTACAGATAGTAAAAGTGCAGTAAACAGATTATGTGTAACAAATAAATCCAAGCAATTGACTCATCTTAATATAGAGATATTAAAATTGTACTACAAGGTTTCAAAGCTCGGGGGAGAAGTTATTATCGCATTATCATGCGGAGAAACCATATACAACAATATTCTACCGGTGTCAGATATAGATGTATATAGTAAACATCGGCTCAAATTAAAATGGCAAGCCAATTATACGGAATCCGAAAGACAGTCATCATTTAAATATTGGCAACCCACACTTCTTAAAAAAAAGGTGGTTTTATTCAGAGTCCAACAGAAGTTTTATTAAAACTATTAATAGGCTTAGGTCAAATTATGCTCTAACACCTTCAAGAATGTACAAAATTGATCTAGCAGACACTCCAAACTGTATTTGTGGTAAATATGGAGATTTAACACATATTCTATTATAAGACTGTGTAAACCAACAAGGAAATATTACATGTTTTTATGAAAACTTACGAAAACTAAATGCCTGTTTCCCATT